GCACGCGCCGATTTAAACTCCCTTGTTTTTTTTTTTTTTTTTTTTAAACCTGCGTTAGTTGTACCGGAGGTGGAAGCCAGGGCCTCTACCACTGATGAGCTACACCCCTTCCCGTATGTTTCCCCTGAACCCTCAGCTTCCCTGCAGTCTGGGTTACTTGTTGAAAGATGAAGGTCCAACCCCCCCCCATTACCCACGAGTATGACCGCATTGGAAACTGCAAATGTACCTGAAATAAGACAAAGTTACCGTGTGTGGGAAGACTGCCCCACAACAGCCACCAGAAGCCAGGAGGAGGGCATGGGTTAAATCCTCTGCACCCCGAGAAGGAACCAACCCTGCCTTGATTTCAGACTCCATTTCCGTTGTCGGCCACCCACATGGGGACACTGACTGCAGCCTGCTCAGCCTTCAGAGCTGGGAAGGAGCCTGACCTGGGCCTCCTGGGGTCAGTTCTGTTGGGACTCCGTGACTTAGAGCGGTGTTGGCCTCCCTGGCCAGCGTGACGTTAGCCTGGGGAGGTGCCTCAGTGAGGAACTGGGAAAGCAGCTGGTCGAGTGTCGGAACAGTTAACTCTGGAAGGGTGCTGGGGGCTGGAGCTCAGTCCCACTGTGCCTACCTGGCAAGCACAAGGCACCGAGTTCAATTCCCGGTACCAAAAAACATGGGGTCAAGATGAGGGGCTACATAAAAGGTTTGGGGGGGTGTTCCCAGAAGGTGGGGGCTGCTGGGGTGTAGCTTAGTGGTAGAGCATTTTCCTAGTGTACACAGGGCTGTTTGATCCTTAGTACTACAAAAAACAATAAAAGTAGCCAGTATTATGATGCACACCTGTAACCTCAGCACTCAGGAAGCTGGGGCAGGATAATTATCTCCAATCCAGCTTGGGCTGTAGAGCCAGATTGTCTCAAAAATACAAACACATTTTGCGGGGGGGGGGCCCTGGTGCAGTATGATGTTTGGGCTCCCACCCCCCACACACACACTCCCCTGTACTATGAATTGAACCCAAGGTCTTCACACATCTGTCTCTGGCCACTTTCTTCCCGTGTTGGCACCATCTCATTGGATCAGCCGCTGAGACTGGGCTTCCAGGCAGATGCGCACCAACGGAACTCCCTCTTTCCCTTGCCCTCCCTGCTACTGTGAGGCATTATAGGATGGCAGTTTCCTGGGTGTACGGGTGGCGCTGGGGGCTCCACCCAGGACCTGGCATGTGCCAGGTGAGTGCTCTACCGCTGGGCCTTAGCCTGAGAACCACTTCCTAACTCATCCCCGTGTTGTTTCATCTCTGGTGAGCACTGATCTCCGCTCCCCACCTCACGATCCCAGCCTGGGAGTGTGGCTGAGCCCTGGGTGGTCAGATGTCCGAGCACAAGAACTGGGAGCTGGAGATTCTAGGCCACAGCGCAGTGGCCACCCACTGGCCCTCACTATATGCATGGCACCTTTGCATGTGCTGTCCCAGCTGCCCACACGGAGGTTGCCACCCTATGTCCCAGGTGAGAAAGCTGGTGGGGCGCCACACTGTGGTCTGATCCCAAAGCTGGGCATTCCTTCTCCCTGCAAAGAGGGAGGAGGGTCGGGGTGAATGGGGTGGGAGGGTCGGGGTGAATGGGGTGGGAGAGTTGGTGGAGTCAAAGACCCTTGGGTTCTAAGTGTAGTGGCACAAGCCTGTAATTGTAGCACTCTGGAAGGCTGAGGCAGGAGGATTTTATCGTTGGTTTGAAATAGGGTCTTACCCTAGTTAAGACTGACCTGGGCTGGTCTTGAACTCACAGCAATCCTCCTGCCTCAGCCTCCCAAGTGCTGGGATGACAGGTATGCGCCACAAAGTCCAGCTTTTTTTTTTAAAGTAGTTCAGGCTGGACTTGAACTCACTGTAGCCCAGGCTGTGCTCAAACTCACACACTTCCAGGCATGTGTTTGTTTTCCGAGTCAGGGCGTTGACATGTAGTTCAAATTGGACTTGAACTTTCAGCAATCCACCTGCCTCAGCTTTCTGAGTGCTTGATTACAGGCATGCAGCATTACCCCAATTAAAAAAAAAATGGCGCACATCTGTGATTCCCAACCCTTAGGAGGCTGACGCAGGAGGATTGGTAACTGGGGAGGTAGCTCTTAGGAGAAGACCCTGAATTCAATCTCCACTGGCCTGTGCGTGCAAAGGACCCATTCACGAAGCAATTAACGGTCCAGCGGCGCCCTCTACCGGTCATCTCTCGTCTGCACGTTCCCCTCGGTTCCCGCCTGGTTCCGCAGGAGCACTCACCGACCAGGCGCCCATCGCCCGGTCTCCCACCAGCCCTCTGTGACTCTGACCGGTGTCCAGCAGCAGGCTCGAGATGGTCAGGTTCCCGTGGGACACACTGTAGTGCAGGGCCGTGTTCCCGTCGTCATCCGCCAGGTTCACCACGTGCTTCAGCAGCGGGAGTCCCAGGCGCGCCAGCCAGCGCAGCGCCGCGGCCACCATCTCGGCCTGGGAACCCCGCTGGCTGGACACCCGGAACCATTCCTGGGCCACCAGGAGCGCCGCGTTCTGCAGGGACAGGGACCGGGACCGGGTCAAAGGTGTCCACGATGACCCGGGGCTGGAAGCGGGGGTGCTGGCAGGGAAAGGTCACCCCTCTCAGGAAGAGGGTACTGTTAATAGGGTCCCCACGAGGAGGAGACGAGCTTGCCCTTGCGGAGTCGGAGAGCAGGGCTGGGGCTGGGATCTGCGCTTGCGTGTGTGTGTGTGGGAGCGTGAGACAGGGTCTTGCTGTGGAGCCCAGGCTGGCCTCAAACTCCAAGCGACCCTCCTGCCTCTGCCCCGAGTGCTGGGATCACAGGCGAGTGTGCGGCACCCAGCCTACTCCCTGGTGAAAAAGGATCGGGCCGTCCCGCACTCACGCTGTCGCGGGCCACTCCGTGGGGTCGGCTCAGCTGTCTCAGCAGCGCAGCGCAAGCCTCGCGCAACCGCTGGCCCAGCTCGTACCTGCGAGGAGGCAGGAGAGGCTCAGGGGTCCGGAGACACAGGCCGCCCAGACTCCCCACCCCGGGCGCCTCTTACCCTCCCTGGGTCCCGGGCTGGGGCTCTGCTTCCGCCTTTGCCTCTGGCCCCGGGTCACCAACATCGCCACCGCTTTCGTCCCCCGAGCCCGAAGAGCTGCTCCTCGGGGGCTTCGGGGCGCCGTCTTGGCTGTCGCTGCTGTCGCTGTCGTCCTCGCTGGACGAGCTCTCGTACCTGGGGACAGCGGGGGGAGGGCGCTGAGCGTCCGCGCTTCACAGCCCAGGAACCGAGCGCGCTCCGGCCGCGTCTCCGCAGCCTCGGCCGTGGGAAGGGGCGCAGCGCTCACTCTCCGTTGACTACGCCAACGAACTGCAGGCTCTTGGGTACCGGGCTGGGGCGGGCAGCAGCGGTGCTGTCTCTCTTCTTCATGATGGACTTGATGGTGCCTGGCGGGGACCAGACAAGGGCCCTGAGTTTGGGTTCGGCGATTCGCGGGCTGGGGCTCAGCGGGGGGCAGGACTCACCCGCCGGGGCCACGGCCTTGTCCCCGGGAGGGTC